TTGTGCGCACACCAAGGCTAACCACTATTGCTGCCGCCTCTGGCGAGTTGACTAGCCGTCAGCCCCGAGGAGAGTTTGCACCCAGGGACAATAATGCAGGGCCTGAGAGGGGTGGGCGAGGGAGGCTGCACCACGGAGAAACCTTGCTCTCGTCTTGCCTTTTACAAACCTCCAGCACCACCAGTACTTTGCCAGGCAGCAGATCTTACCCTTGTTTTTCACGTGCGGGAATAGAGGCCCAGGGTGGCCAAGGCAACCATTCGCCAGCGGGCATGCATTGAACTTGCCACGTTAAGACCAGGGGTTTTGCCTCCGGTGGGGCAAGCGCTGGACCAAAGCACCCGTGTTTGAAGACGTTGGTCTAGCCTAGGTCGCAGGAGTGAACGGGCTCAGTCCCTGGCTTTTATGCTTTTGCTTGGCCTGCTAACCCGAGCAGCCCTGCCTAGGGCCAGCAGCCCTGCCCGGCTCTGGCTTCGCTGCACAGCCTGGCAAGGAGCTCGAGGCACTGTGGAAATTCGGCACCACCGTCTCCTACAAGCTGGTGACTTCTCAAAAAGCCTGGGGAGGCCGGATCCAGCCCCCAAAGCCCCAAGAGGCCTTCAGGGGAGCATGACTAAACTCGTCTGCTTGAAAATATATATGTGACAAATCCCAGCTCTGGAAATAGGTTTCCATTCAGTGAAAGCTTCCCCACAAGAGAAAGTCCAGCCCCAGAGCAATGCATGGGGGCTTTAATGCAAATAAAAAGCAGGCTTTTTTTTTTTTTTTCTCCTTTTTCTTTCCTTCTGATAACGAAAGCCTTGCTGTTTCTGGCTCCTCCGATGCACCCAGAAGCCTTGTTTACTTGCAAAGCCTTCTGTCTACCACCAAGACCACGAGTCCTTGCAGGGTATAATCACAGCACACCTAAGCATAACGTTTAGGGTCTGGTCCCAAGGAGATGCAAGTGGGCAGAGGTGCCCTGGCTTTCCAAGAGCTACGCTCATGTATAGCCAGCCCTGGGAGCCGACTGTTGGGTTTTAGCATGCTCTTCTGAACAAAAAAGGGACCATTTCGATGGTAAAGGTGCCCTCTATATTTCCAAACAGGGGCTGGCTTCTATCAGATCCCCACTTGACCTGCACCACCTTACAACAGCTCAGGGCTTTTGCCTTTAGCGTGCATGACAAAGCTCTGAGGACACCCATCCTCCGTCTTCCTTGGGTTATTCTCAGGGGAAGCATTGCCTTTCTCTGAAAGAAGTCCCATTGCTCTCACTGGGGCCATGCACAGAGCGCAGGGCTCCTCGGCAAGACTACGCGTGGCAGAGCTCGGCCCTTTCTGAAGAATAAGGGGATAGGGCTCCCTCGTGGCACCAACGTGCTCTTTGGGGGTCTTTTTCCAGAGGACACCAGCTTTAAAAAACAAACACACACACACACACACAAAAAAAAACCCCACAAGAACAAAAACCCACAACTGTCTTCCTTTCCTTTGCTGACAAAAAAAACCCAAAAAACAAATCAAACTCCCACCTGTCAGGTCCTAAAAGCAAAAATAAAATAGGAAGAGGAGTATGATGCATGGCACCTTTAAAACGCTGGCAGCCTCCTGCAAGCGGCATTTTTATCAGTGTCAAAGCCCTGGTGTGAATTCATGCCGGCACCGGCCTCCATCTCGGATACAAACGCGCTCAGCGGAATAGGAAAATCAGGTTTTAATTTATTGCTAATTTCAAAAACCAAAATCTCCATCCACTGTGCTTGCAGCATTGGTATTTGTCCAAGATATCGAGAGCAGGCTCTAGCGAGACCGCTAGACAGGTGCTCAGAACGAGCTCGGTTCCCACCGCTGGAACCAGCTGTGCCGAAGCACTTTTTTTTCGCCCTTTTTTAAAAGCCTGGCTCCAGGATTTGGTGCCTTGTTCACAGCCGAGCCCCCTGGAGAGTTTGGCCTGCCCCGCTGTCCCTCTTGCAGGAGCTCCTGGATGCCTCGCCGCCCCGGCACAGCGCAAACACGGGGCCGGAAAGGACCGTCCAGCAGAGCTGGCCCTTCTCATGTGTCCAGTGGGTGGTGCTTGCTTTTGTGCCCTCCAGTGCAGAGACTAAACTGAGTGAGCAAAGAGAACAGGATCTGGGCCTGTGGCAGAGGAAAAGAAACCTGCAAATCCAGGCGCCCGATGCAGTCCTGCACCTGGAAGTGCCTGCGCCCTCCCCGCTCACAAGCCATCTTCACCCAAGCACCAGGCCCAAGAGCTGGGCTCCTATCACACAAAACTACCGCAAACTTTCTGGCGGAGACCACAGCGGGCGGGCAGCTCCTTGGCTTGTGCGAGGGTGCCATCTACCGTCCAGACAAGGCCACCTCCAGGCGGTCAGCGTGTGCTCCAGGCAAATGGCACAGCTTTTCATTTCTATTGTTGGTGGGAGCATGGAAACAGTAAGATAGTGTGGTCCTTCATCCTCGCCACAGAGAACCCGGTCTCAGACAGACCAGGGATGGGAAGGAGCAGTAACGTTAAGCAATATAACGTGCCACCAAAACCCCATGGCCTTCTCTTTTATGAGCATCCTTGGAAATAGGAGCAGGAGCTGCCATCCCGGTGTATCCAAAGATGAAAAGGATACCGGGGGGTGAAAGATGTGGTAGACCAACTCATTCCCGATGCCACAGTCCTCATTCCCTCTTGCTCACTGCTCAGCCCAGCACTTTAGGGACCTGCATTTGATAAAGATGTCGCTTAGGGGTGAGGGCAGCTGCATTTTGAACTCCAGGATCCAAAAGCAGGAAGCACCAAATGACCTTTTCTCTTACCTGAAACCCCCAGCCCGCCATGCAGGACATTGGCTGGCCTGGCTCCTCACCTGTGCACCAGTAACCAAGTCATTCAGGTGCTGATCACATATGCTAGATCTATATCTAGCATATGTGATCAGTAACCAAGTAAATCTATAGATATATCCATCTATCTATAGATATATGCACACACACACACACACACACTTAAAAAAAAGAAGATGCTAGCTGGGTGGCTGGAGTAGCAATGCACACCAACAAGGGCGTTACATATTTATAAATAAAAAGGTATTTCTTGCAAGAAAACATGAGAGCTGCAATTAGCTCAGCGGCCGAGCTAACTCCATGCTCTGAAGGTAGGTCTCCTCCGGTAGGGAGAGCCTTGGCACGGGGCTGGCTTGGTTTATACAGCATCTGGCACACCAAGAGCCCCTCCGGGGCCCTCTAGGCACTACCTACTCGGGCTTTGCCCCCCCAGCTTGCTCCTTCTGCCTTTTGATTAGGGACAACAGAGACGAGAGGGCATCACAACAAGGCCTCCAGGCTTCGGGCTTGCATGCAGGCTGCCCACCATGGATTTGGGTGCATTTGAAGACCGAGGCGTCTGGGAGGTCGGGTGCTTGGTGGCGGTAGCACCACAGACTTGAACGATTGAGCTCTACTCAGTTGCTAGATTTGGGCCAAGACACGACATTAAAAACCCCCAAACACAACGTGCCAATAACAGTGCGCTCTCAGAAAACAGCCCAGGGAAGGAGCACTCTTGGCCACATGGTGCCAAGACCGGCAAGCCTGGCGCTCTTAAACCAAGGGGGAAACGCAGCTGCCGAGTGAACGGTCCTTTGCTCAGACCGCCGTCCCCCCTGCCCCGGGGTATAGCCTTTTCTTTCATTCACCCGGTGTCTCTTCCTCCTGGCAGGGCAGCTATTTGGTAGTGCATACACTACTATGAGCGGTATAGGCGCTGATCTGCACCGCCTTGTCTTTGGGTAGGGGCACAGCGACCTGCCACACGCATTAGCATGCAGGAGCGGTCGTGGATGGGGGATGATTTCATTCCCTGGGTCTGACAAGATTTTTCTAATTTGAGAGTATGTCTTTTCCCCGAGGCAGGCGTTTGAACAAGCTGCAAGAGGCTGACACCGAGCCTTCCCGTCGCTCGCACCGGCACAGCCCTACCCCCAGATTAGCAGGGTGGCTCTGATGTGACGAGGGCAGAGCGTGTCTGCATCGGCACCACCAGGAAAAGCTACCGCGGAGATGAAAGAGCCCTTTTTTTGCTAGAGGCAGGAGAGTGGGCGAGTGCTTAAGGCGCACGCAGGGAGGCTGCATTTCTAGCAACTTGCTGTCTCGAGATTCAAACATGGGGGGAGGACAGGGGGGACACTTTAGGATCCACAAATTATTTTGAAAGAGTGTTATTTCCCAGAAACGAGAGCCTCTCAATTGAAACAGCATGAAACAGCTGTTCAGAGTCCTTAAATCACAGAGAGACAGTGAGCCGGAGTATCAAAAATGAGCAGTGTGACACACAATTTTGAACTCGGGACATAAAAATTGCCATAACCGAACAGCCCAATGATCCATTTAATCCAACCTCCTCTCGCCCCTGAGAGGCGACTCGCTGGAAAGCGCAAGTCCTCTCCTCCATCTGCGATTACGGCTCGAAGCACAAGGCATAACAACCCCAGCCATTTCCCCCTTCTCCACGAGACGAAAGAGGCTCCTGTTATTAAGATAAACTCCTTTTTGGACACCAAAACACTTACCTGTCCAAGAGCCTGCAGCAGCCAGTTCTGCCCATATAGTCTAGATTCAATAAAGGGAGTTTTTATGGGCTTTTAAGCTTGTTTTCTTTAATCTGGTGTCGGTCTGATAAGCATTTGCGAGCCCCTTTGAACATGAACCTCCCTGGAAGCAGCAGTCTTTGGCCAAGGGACAACCTACGCGGGCTGTGTACAACCACGGTGGTCTGGACATCCATCCCCGCAAGCACTTCCATCTCTCGGGAAGGGTAATGCCTCCCCCATACCATTCGGGTCAAGTACGGCCCAGACCTCGTCTTTCCAAGCCACGTAACGGCACCGCCACGCGGACGCTCTCTCTTTGCCCATCATGGACAAGCCTTTTCTTTGGCCCTGGTTTATTATTATTTAAGAGAAGTCACCAGAGCCAAATGCAAGAGTTGAGGAGACAGGCCGTTAAACGTGTACATTTTCCAGTACCTTTGCTCGCTGGCTACTCTTCAGCCTTTCCGGAGACAGCGGGGCTCGACATGCTCGCGTTGACCCTTAGGCAGGGAACAGGATGGAAATGCTGAGGGTCCAGACAGAAAGGGTCCCTGTTTTAGCTTCCCTGGAGTTGTAAGAGTTACACCTGGGGGAAAAGCAGCAGGAGACCCAGCTCTGAGCCCTACAGCCACCGGCAAGTTGCAATGGGGGGCAAAGAAGGGACCCCCTTAGTTCTGAATTTCTCAGGAGAAATAACGAACAGGAACTTGTGGAGCGGCCGGGAGCTTCACCGGAGTTTAACCTATAATAAATTCACCGCTGCTTTTCCAAGGGGAAGGAGGGCAGCCCGCTTGGAGGGCTCTGCCAGGTTAACCACGCTGGGAGCAAACTAAACCCTAGCATTAGATTAGCCCACCGTACTTCCTCTCGGCCTCTGATTCTTACCACCGAGAACGACACGATACCAAAATCACCACCCCGCCACTTTCCAATACATCTAGAGCGCAGGGGTCCTAGGCGGGTCCACAGATCCACCTCCGTCGCAACCCCGCGGCACTGGGGACTTCACCGAGGGAAAGATAATAACGGCGCCTGACTTACCACCGTGTCTTGCTGCTGCTGCACCTTTGCAACCCATCTCCAGTGCCTACGCTTTCCTTGCTGGCCATGTCTCCTCTGCTCTCCCCACCCCATCAGCCATAATATTCAACTGCTTTGTGTCCTTCCTTCCTGTTGCTGCCTGAGCTCCACTTGCCTGTCTGTCCCTGTTTACCAGGGCTCCCGCTGATTGCTGATGCTGCCCACCTGGGTCCCAACTGCCCTTCACAGCTGCCCCCCGTTAACCCACCCTTCCCCTTCACAGCAAAGGGAGCTGGCAGCACTAGCCCATCCCCAGGGCTGGGCACGAACTGGCACTTCCAGTGCCCATAGGGAGGGCCACTCACTGCATTCGTGGCGGGGCTGCTTCTACGTGCATTGATATAACGCGGGCAGCAGGCTCTCAGGCAGGAGTCGGGGAACATAATAGCTGGGTAAGAGCTGAACATTAATCACAGAGCTGCCAACAGCTCACAAAGTGACTTTTAGGCGAGCCTGCACTAGGTCATCATGCAGCCGACTCCAGTTTTTCTTCTTTAAAAAATGAAGGAGGGAAACATTCATTCCTCTTGCCCTGCCACCTGTCATCGCAGTAGCGGCTGGCCCTTTGCACTCCTCGCATGGCACCTTTTTAACTATGAAATCTGCCCCAGCACAAGTTGCGAAGGGGGGTAAAGAAGGGTTCTCGCTCCAGTTATTGCTCCTGAATAGGAACTTTGCCTATGGAGCGGCCCCGGGAGCTGCTGGTGGGAGCAAACGTTTGGCACACGGCTGCAGCAGCTAGGGAAAACGTGGGAATGAAGATGAATTGCTAAGCTCCGTAATGAACAATTATACTGAAGAAAGAATTCCTCCCCAGAGATGCACGCAAAGTCGGCAGGGATCTACTTTGAGCTTTTTTAGAACAAGACTAAGGACTATTATATGGATCCTGGAAAGAAGGGAAAGCTGTGGGGTAGGGGGTAAAGAGCAATGTTTTGCCAAGTTTTACATTTTAAATAATTGAATGCTTAAAGGTTCAACTCCTTCCCCGCCCCTTGACCTGTGAACTCTTCCTAGCAGCCTGAACATTTTTACCTTTAGTGCAAACCTCCTTAGTCTTACACTTCCAGGTTGAGTTGCTACACCAGAGGGTAGAAGAGTTATAGGTGCTTAACCCATGACCCTGCTTCGAGCAAGGCGAGAGTGCCGGCCAGAGTGGCTCAGCACAGTACCGAGGTGCGAGTCGCAGTCAGGGTTGAAGGAGCTGTTGCGTGCAGCAATACGGTCCCATAGGCAAGTCGCATTGAAACCGGACATTGCACTGCCCGTCTCACATGTGCAACTACAGAACCGGCACCTTTTGCAGGGAACCTGTTCTCCAGGAGGATTCAGGCCGTGGAGCAGCATGGTCAAGGAACGAGGACATTAATGCTTCACACTAACACGCAGGTCCAGGGAAGGGAAGAGGAGCTCTGCTCCTCCTTGTCCAAACAGCTCTGATCTGGTCTCCCAGTGCAAAGGCCAACGCTGCAATGCACGAGAGACCAGCTGTACACGTACATGGGTTCAAATGCACAAAAGACCACTTGGGGAACTGTACGGCATGGGGTGCTCAGCACTGGTGTTCCCCCTGTAGCCATCTCAGATCACAGATCTGTTTTACATAGGGGGGCTTTTTTTTTTCTGCGCTCCTTATTGACCTCCTGCCTCCATTTTGGACCGTGATTCCCGATGACTAGGGGCACAGGGCGAGCCATGGAGGCTGGGTGACTTGAACATGGAAGCAGACTCTCCTCTCAGCAAGAAGCTGGCTCCCACCTGGGAGAACTGGTGGATCAGAAAAGGAGCCCTTTAGCAAGAGGTAGAGTTGGTCAGGTAGGCTCTTATAATCCGGGGCCATTTTTCAGCATCTTCAAATGAAAAGAACGATTGCACGAAGGGGATGAGGCAGGCAGGCCGGCCAACCCAGCCTGTCCGAACAAGCCCCGCTTTCAGATACAAGAGGAAGTTGCATTAAATGGCTCATTTGCTCAGTTATGGCAATTTTTATGTGCCAAGTTGAAAATGTTGGCCTTTCTTTGCATGCTAATGACTGATGAGAGATACAGAATGGGAAGAGCAGGTCCTGCAGCTTTCTTAGTGCTTGGAAAGGTTTTAATGCAGAGTGGCGGTGGCCAACAGATTCAAAGTGGAGGCAAGAGTACATAGCCAGTGGCTCGGCTACCCCAACAGACATCCATTCCCTGTTAAGCTGCAGCACAGTGGAGCTCTTTTCCCAGGAAAAGGCTCAGTGAAGGGAGGGTATTTGGAAACCAGAATTCAGTTTTCCACTGAGCCTTTCCTACATCACCCCGAGCAAGTCACGGTCTTTCTTGTAGTTCAGCTCCGCTCGGGATCACTGGCACTTCCCTGCGAGGAGAGATGCAAGGACCAAACCCATTGCAAGTTACTGCAGGCCTAGGCCACAAAGGTCTAGCAAGTAGCTAGGCAGGCAAGGATGGGCACCCTACAGAGCTGCTTGGCCCACGCTAAGAACATGCTTACCCCAGGCCTAGGCCATAAAGGTCTAGCAAGTAGCTAGGTGGGCAAGGATGGGCACCCTACAGCGCTGCTTGGCCCACGCTAAGAACATGCTTACCAGGTTCAGGAGAAGCTGCAGCCCCTGCAAGCGCAGAGCCCAGCAGCTTTGGGGCTCGAATCATTTAACCCTTCCCCAGCAAAAACACCAGCTAACCCTCACTTGGCAGGCAGCTAAACCCCACTGTTAAGGCTATGATGTGGTCATAAAGAGCCATGAAATGTGAAAGAGCCCGAGCCTACCCATCAGAGCTCAAATGCATCAAATGATGGGAGATTTATTTCAGCCAGCAATGTTAGCCTGCAGAACAGCAGGGTGGTACATTTGCTTTCCAAAACTACAGCTACCATGAAAGAGTACTCCAGAGAAGGGAACCATACCCAGGAAATGGATGCTTTTTAATCCCACCTCTGCCAAAAAAAAAAATCTACTAAAAAGTTACATGACGGAAACGAGACGGATTAATCAACATGCAAGAGCCTCTCCCTTTATGCACCAGTGCTCAGCAGACCATAAAGGGTTTGTTGGGGGTTTTTTTGGAAGAGATTTATTTAAAAAAAAAGAATATAAATCCAATTTCCAAACTTGTTCACAAAACTTCACGTAGTCAACGGAGAATTCTACAAACAGGAGGAGTTCGGAAACTTGACCTTCTGGTATCCGGGCCTAGCCGGCCATCAAATTGATTAAAGAACCTTTCCCAGCCTTGTCACAAGAAGTCTGAAAGATGAAAGCTCTCTCTCTCTCTCTCTCTCGCCGCTTTCGGATTAAGACGACTTAAAATTTGCACTTTAATTGAAATGGAGGAAAAAAACATTCCAATAAGGTATTTTCTACAGGTTTAACCAAGTTACTGATTTAGTTTTCATTGGACATTATTGCAAACATGAACATTAAACCGTAAGACCCAAAGACAGAATTCAAAAAAAAAAGAGAGATACAAATCAAATCATATTTGAATGGCTCTGATCAAATGTTCTTGTAGGTAACTACATTCAACAGTGCTTGGTGGACAGCATTAGGTGACCAGATGCAAAAACCATCTATGAATCTGCCTGAAAAAAACCTCACATTTCCTGAGGACTGGCTATACCAATGGTTTCCTATTAAGAGTCTTCTCTGCCGAGATAAATCCCAACTTGATACACGTTTAAAGTTGATATACATTAGACGGTTCTTTTTCTTTTTTTAATAGAATTAAGTTAGCTTAAATTATTTAAACAAAATTTTAAATTCCACATCTGATGAACAAAAGAAAAAAGGAGCAAAAAAAAAAGTCATCAAATCAAGGAGAGAGAACACCACTGCAATATTAATTCCAAATTGTTACTTTTTTCCTGTTTTTTTTTTTTTTCTTTTTCAGCTCTGTACAGCAAAGTAGCAAAGAATGCATTGATTACAATTCATACCATACAGGATCTAAGGAAATACTAAACCTGTACACAGCGGAGTGGAAAACTCCCAACATTTAGATGCTCCAAGTATGTCAGCTATGCTAATGCACTCCAAACCGTTTCTAGCTACGGAGGACATTTTGGTGTGAAAAAAAAGGTGTTTTTTTTGTAAAGATCCCTTTGTTTCCAGTGTTTTTCTTGTACAAAATATTACAGTGATTTTATATATATTTACACAGACTTGCACAGCTAGAAAATTACAAGTTACAATTGGGCTTGGCAATCAATGATTAGTTTTCTTTTTTCATGTACATGATTGGGAAACAAAAGAAAACTTCAAAGCTATGGCTGCAGCAGTAACTTATCCTGCATTAGATACGTCTGCACAGAAACAGCTTCCTTCCCATTGCAGATCAAGTCTCAGACAGTCTAGCAAGGCTATGCGCCATAATAAGTGCCATAAATACAATTCATACACTCCTTGCCCAGCACCTGCAGGAGACCAGACAAATGCAGCTGGTGCATGTCGGTGGCACAGTCTGCAAAAATCCATACACAACTGAACATTGAATGCTTGACATACACTTTGTTGGCTTTATAGGCAGAATTTTCTTTTTTAAAAAGAGAGGCATCACTTTCAGTAGAAAACAGCCACTGAATCCTACGGACATATGCATTGAACAGGCCTTCAGCCACAGTTAAGTTGTAGGGGCATTTATTAGTTTCAAGCAAGCCCCAGATTTTTAACTTTTGAGATCAGGCCACGGACAGGTTTGTTGTTTTAAAGCTACCGTTATCTTTTTATGGCTCTTGAAAAACACCCTGCCTTTCGCCGAAATGAGGTATGCATTTCAAGTGAAATGGTAACAGTTGAGCAAACCAGTCTCAACGGACCACGCAACTTTGCACAGTGGTGTAAACGAACGGGTTTGCCAAACCAAATTGTAATACAGTGCAAAAAAATTCCTTGGGTGTTTTTTTGTTTTTTGTCTTTTTTAGAAAAAGGGCTGCCTGGTGCATCCAGGACATTACTAGTAGCTGTCAATCCACTGAGCAAATCCTCTTTCCACCAGAGCTCTGTTTATGGACACCACCTAAAAGGGGGCAAAGAGACGAAGATGAAGGAAACAGCACAACGAATGCACCCATTTCTGTTTAAATAAATCCCGCCCCCGACTCAAATAGCTTGCAGACTCAAAAGGGTGTTAGGGGAA